TTTCAAATAAAAAAATATCTACGTGATTCAAATGAATAACAGTTCAGTAATATTTCATGTAAGTAATAACCTGCTGAACCTATACCATTACCATATTGTATACTACATAGTTAAGAAAAGTATCGCGACTACATTTAAGAGTTTTTGAAGAACAGCTTAATTTAATCTCTCACAAGTGAAACAAATTTGAATAATGATCGTCACCTATCCGTCATTTTATTTTGTTTGTTCAACGGTTTCCTGGTGTTGGACGTTGTTAAAACTGACACGTTCCCAAATTGGAAATAATATTGAGAAGAGGATGTGAGGGTAGAACAATACATGTATTGTCGCCGGTGAAGAATATAAAAAGAAGAATTTTGGTTTGAATTACATCAAGAAATGATATAGCATCTTCTCATATATGTTTATTTTTTTCAGAGTGGATAAGCAACCAAGTTTTCTTTGAATTGTGCTAAGAACAATCGTTATCTCTTACTACTGACAAAAGATGACTTTTGTTGGTAATTAGCAAAAAATTTGTTAAATGTTGATTCACTGTTTTCTTTCTTTATAATGGTTGGGATTAAAATGTGTTTATCAAATTTTAGACCACATAATAATCTTAAAGTGATGATAATCGCTTTAAGACACACATTAAAACACAATATTCTGTTTCATTGGCTGGTGAGTGGTGTAATCTTTTACGATATTTTATTCAATCAACCAGCGAAAATATTATCTCGAACGTAAACGTAACAGTTTGTCAATGTTCATCGTAAACGAAACATTAATATTGGTACCGGTAAGATCTAGAAATTTTTAGATGGGATCCGTTTATAGATCGCATCATCATATACCTGGTTTCTACCCTTGTTTCAGCGAAACTTATTCGCGGTGATGCGGTGATAAAATATCTTAATCTGACATGGTAATTTCCACTCGAGGTTGTATTTTTTCCAGTAGGAATGAAATGTTTTATTATTTACTGTATCAATACCTGCATAATACTTTATAACTTTGATGTAAAATTTTGTTTACTAGTTTTGAGAAACGAAAACATTTTTTTGTATGTATATTTTCACTAAACTTGGTAAGCAGTTAAGCGTAGCCTAAAAAATATAACAACCGTTCGCCTTATTCAGTAATTTGGTTGGCGTACTTGGAACCTGCAATTGTGACGTTCACTGAATGCTATCCGGTAATTATTACTATTGTTATGCATTTTAGTATGTTATCAACACTCATTATCTCCCTATAACGAATACAATTAAATCCTGTGGTTTTAAATGCTTTATATAACAAAGATCTGCCTTATTTCCCACAATAAATTAATTATTATTGTAATTAAATCTTTATACCAGTATTTTAAAAAGGTGAGTGTGTAAAAATTGCGGTATATAACAAATATGTATGGTAGTATTTCAAAAAGTCTTATCAGATTTAGTTGTACGCAATTCAATTGGAGAATCACAATATCATATTTTTGGATTTTTGCACTAATTTTTTATTAAGTAACAAATAAAAACCATTGTTTGTGCCTTCGGCAGAATATAATTTCGTTATTTTTCGTAAATTCTTATTCTTCCAAGGTCTTTGAACGGTACAAAGATATAATGAAAACAAGCAGTTAAGGTTTGTATGAAGAAAGCTGAAATTTAAATCCCCAAATACAGCAGATATTGAACAATATCTACTATTGCTCTTTTTTATATCATTTCAAAGATCCAACAGAAAATTTAAATGTAAATGTCTTCATTAGAGAAACAAGTGCACAGTCGTTTCACAGGCCATTCAATATTCTACTTAATATACTGTCTTCCCTGTGTGCAAAGGTTACTTTTTGAAATAGTTATATTTAACTTTACCTAAAAACAGTGACAGGGATAGGGTGTGCACGGGCCATCTCAGAAAGCTCGATGCCCACACCAGAAAAAAACATATCCAACAATACCATCTTTTTCATATCGGTAAATCCCTGACTGGGACACTTTTTTTAGATTCAAACGAAGGACTGCCTAAGTTTTGAAACATTACATTGGTAAGTCATTGATTGGGTGTTTTTTTAGAGGGCGCCATAGAGCTTGCAGCAGTCCTGGGCTCACTTCAAGCAAAAATCCTAGCTACGCCCATGCTGAAGAACTTACGTATAAAAAAGTGAATGTATTCACAGCCAACTACGTCAACATACAATATCATCCCACTCTGATAGCAACTTGCAGCTTTTGAAAGGAAGTTAATTGTATTTTGTTAATGTATATTTGGACGTAGTACCTCTTTCTTTGAATTTGCAAAGTTATCATACGCAAAAATTTACAGATGCAAACTTTTTTTTAACAATCAATTGAAGATGTTATTGAATAATTCTGCATACAATGATAAATCAGACGTATTCACAAAACGCAATCGAAATTAATATATGCTTTGTTCCTAGAGTAGTCCAAAAGAGTTTCCAGTCAAACGTATGCACATTCCGATCAGATACTTATAGCCCGTAAGGCATTTGTTGAGATTCAGGAAAAGAATAAGCCCATAAAGTTCTGTTATCGAAACTACTGCAACAATTTACCGCCTTGAAAACTTCATCATGAAAAATTGTCTCAAAATAATTATACACGTTAAACAGTTCCTTTCTTTTATTTTTCACGCCCAACAGTTCCCATGAAAGAATATTCGTTTAAAAACATCTAGACTCTAGAAGCATTAATAATTCGTCTTTATTATCAAATAAATCAAATTTCTCGGTTCATTTACGAATCACCCTGTATACTGAATCTGAATTTTATTGCAGCTGTGAAGAGAAACTGAACATAGAATTAATGTTGCTCAAAACCTGATGCATTTCATGGTTGGCTATTCCCAAGACTTTCTGTCAAAATGAAAGTGAAAGTTTGGATCAACTATAACTTTTTATATATTTTATGTGCTAGAAAGCAGCCAAGCAACCTCTGCTGCAAATTGAATGCTTTATGTAGACAAGCTAGTCATACAGGGCATTCTATCATTCCGGGTACACAGAGCTACCACATTGGGGTCAAGAAAGACGATTTAATTAAACTTATCTCTATCCAAAAAGCTCAAATTTGGCAAAAAAAATATTGATTAATTTCTTCCAAATGCTTTCTCCGATTCAAACACAATTTGATGTTCGTGTTTAAATGCCAATTTTGACATTGTACCTAACCGAAATAACCCCCACCTCTAAACAAATTATAGTTTTTGAGTGATCTCTTACAACTTAACTTCTTTACAAGAAATTGCTTTTCAATTTTTTTCCTTTTCCACAATTTGGTGTGTTCCTACCAAAGCGTTTTTTTTTGACACCATGAATTGGACTTTAAAAATTTCAATTATTTGCTAATAAAATCGAAAAAAATTCTTGAAGAAAACCAACAACTTATAATCGAATGTTCTTTAGCGGAAAATATGGAAAATGTTTACATTGAGTCAAAAAAAAAATCAATTGAAATAGTTGTTCTTCATTTCAAATTGTCGTAATGATTTTTACATAAAAATAACAACACAAATATTTTTAATTGCTTAATGCAATGTCTGCCTTTCAAGAATTGTTGTCAGGGCGGTTGCAACATGGGATACCTTTGAAGAAATGAAAAAATAATATAAAAATGTAAGGTTAACACCGTACCGTACATGCAGTTATTACGAATTCCAAGAAATTCCAATGTTAATCAAAATTCAGCGCATAGATCGTTTTGTTCGGATTCGTTTTATTGCCATTCCAACTACCGTATCTTAGAAAGTGTGAAATCGTAATTACCATTTTACAAGATTAAACAAATAACGAGAATCAGACTGCGACCAAACAAGAAAAGGAACAAAAGAGCGAATTACACTCTCGAACCCACGAAATTGTGGAAGTGAAGAAACCCACATGTTCTTCACCAGAACGAGAACAACACAATAAAATGTCACATTCAGGAAGCTTGGAAGGTTGAAAAATAAACGGGGTCTAAATCGAAACACTTTCCGTTTCTCTTAGGTTATTTAAAATGTCAACCTATTCATGTAATCTAAATATACTACAAATCAATGCATCTTACAGAAACTCAACACCGAGCTTGAAACCTTAACGCCCTTTTTATGTAAGTAGTTGTCATTTCCCAGAATGTCAACATTATATAAATAAACAAAAAATTTTAGGGGGTTCCTTGTGCGATACGCGCATTATTCTAAAATTTTGATATGATTAAACGTAATTTTAAGCCTTAAAGGGCTCAGATTATCACTTTTCGAAATGCAAATTATTACCGGTAAAAAAGTAAAAAAAAAGTTTGTCTTTTAAATACCCATTTGTTTGCATCTTGATACTTTGTACATTAGAGAAAGTCAAATAACTTGCTTCCTCAAAACGTTTAACATTTATATACTGTATGTTATGTTGCATATTACTCACATTACGTACGTTGATTTAGTGATTACGTTTACCGCATATAACAATAAAGTTTTACGTCATTATTGTGAAACTACAAATAGTCTCGGAGCATTTTACAATTGTTAATAAATTTAATCGTTGAAATTACTTTTAATGACATCACGCTCACACAATCTCTGTCAGAACCAAACAGAATAGAAAAACCTAGACTGATATAAAACTGATAAAAATGATACTGATGCCACGTTATCATATTAGCACCTCAAGTAATGTCTAATTGATTTGTTGCTTCACATAAATAATGTATCAATATAACTTTCAATTAGTTATGTCACACATTCCAAAAAGGAACTAAATACAATAATTAGTGTAATAAATAAAACTAAACATTTTGCAAATAATAAAACCTAGGTTCAATTGTAAGTACTCAAAAAAAATTTCGACCTCAGGGTCAGGCGACATTTACAACACAAACCCTTTTGTCAAAACTAAGTGCAAAGTTTTTTCGTGTCACTAACTTTTGAATGTCGCTCCACAAGAACAGTGTACAAAACAAATGGAAGTAGAAGTAGCTATGTAGTTATTTCAAGTTGATATTACAAATACTTATGCTGCAACTTATATTTACCTGTTCGAAGTATCCCGGCTTTTATAAATCAAACAAAGCACTAAAAATTACACAACCACCTGCACCAACACCTGAAACACGTATGAAAACTTTGTGTTTATAGACGACAGCGCATGACCGGTCGCTTACAACTAATTCTTTGGAATTCAATTCGCGGAACCGTTGCCTGTTCGAAAAAGTTGTGCTTAATTATATGCAGTCACCAAGTTTCACAGTCTTAGAACGGGGATAATGGTTAAGTGAACATTAAATTCAGTACAAATCTGGTACACTAGTTGTACACGAGCAGTAACGGTGCTAATGAATACATAATGTGCCATTACTGTAATTTAATTAAGGGATCCTATTAATTTTCAATTATTTACCTAATATTATGCAACCAGTGGTACTCCTTTGTGTATTAAGTGTAGTACTGGTATAAAATATCTCCAATTTATACATAAATGAAGAAATGAATTGATTTTTTACACATTATGCTTATCCGAACTTTCCGAAGCACCTCTTTTATTATTAGCCATCAAATCTTCCATTAAACTTAAACAAATTCCTGTTGATCGTTCCTTAGTTGTCAAATTTGACAACAAATAAAAAAAAATTCCAGTCCCGGTATAGAAAAATGATATCTTAAATAGAACACCCTGTAAACTCTTGTGTAAAATCACTGGCGTCACTAAGACATTTGAAAATAAATTATCTGTTAATTATATTAAAATAAAATTATTGTTTTATTATTATTATTATTAAAATGACTTTCTGTAGTGGTTTAAACTGCCAATATGATAGACGTAATTTCTTTGCATGGAAGCATGTAAAATTCACTGGGGAGTTTCGGTTTTGTCAACATTATGTGTAATATTACCCCTGGTTAAAAATTCAGTTCCTAGCGGGCAGCCGACCAGAGCACACGTGTTTTGTGAAAGTGTAGTGCAAGGAGCAAATTCTACCTGCCTTTATTAAGGCTACCTGGAAAGAATCCCTTTCTTTCCTTTTAATCACCGACCTAATCCCCGGCTTAAGCATAGACGCCGTCGGCATCTTTGTTACAGCACCTGTGCCGGGGTTATGCCCAGGTAAGTTTTTACTTATTTATCAGTTATTTGCATTACTTTAGAATACATTTCTTTAAAATTGCGACCCCCGACAAACAATATACCAGACAGACAAATACACCAAAAGACACGTACGCCCCCGTGAGGGGGCATCCCCACACGACTAACACTTACACACCTTCCCCCCCACACACACATACACACACACACACAC